CGCCCATGCGGGTTTCCTTTGCGATGGCGGATTGGACGCCCGAGCGGACGATCGGGAGGAGCTTGGGACAGGTCTTGGAGTAGAAGGAAGTGGAGAGCTGGGCTGAGGAGCTGCCCATCAAAAGGAAGACCAGCTGCAAAGCTAAGACAAAAATCACTACATTTTTTGGGGTATGAGAAGTGGTGATACCCATTTTGGTTGGGAAAGAAGAGGAGTGTGGTGTGGTGGACATGGATTGTGGCTTGACTAAGGGCCCTATTTATACACTTCAAACATGAACAAATAGAGGAAAAGTAGCATTTAATATAAAGATGGGGCCAAATTTTGGTATTGGTCGATTGGTTGATTACCTAATCTTCAAAGACAATGACTCATAATCACATGGATTGGATGCATGTCTACAAAATTAGAGAATATAGATTTACAAAACGAAAAAACGAAGACTTTGTTTGATGAATTATTGATCGTAACGAGATTAAATAATATATAATTTAATGATATATTAAACGCTCAATTGAATGTGAATGTACTATTTAGTATATCATTGAATTAACGGTTTATTAAAATTTTTCCATACAAAAATTAGAACGATTATTAGTTAACAATCCAAGCTCATCGCTAGCTGATATTGTTTACTTTGGCTTGTTATAGGGAGAGGTTTTCACGCCTTACAAAGAATGTTTAGTTCCCATCTCCAATCAACATGGGATATCACAATTCACCCCTTTCGAGACCTAGTGTCCTCGTTGCCATGTTGCCTAGTGTCCGGCTTTGATACCATTTGTAACGGCCCAAACCCACCTGATAAATAAATAATTTTTGAGTTTTGAAAATTATGTTGTAGTATTGAAATTAAAATTTTTAGAAATTATATTAAAAAAATATTTTTTGAAATAATATATTAAAAAATTGTAAAAATTTCACAGAGGATGGAACGAGTCTCGGGTAGAAAATTCCCATTTTTCTTGCAAAAATAAATGAAAATTTTTGTCGGGATGAAGAAAAAATAGGAAACGAGATGGAGACGAAGAAGACTTCTTAATATGAAAAGTTACGATTATACCCGTAATTTCCATATCAATATATATTTTAAATTAAAAAATAAATTTAAACAAAATAGACGTGGGATGAAAGGATGGCATGGAATAGACATGGGTGGAGTTGGAGTGTAATTATCTTGAATTATTAAAGCATTAATCCATTAAGTCAAAATTAGCAGGGTCCACACAAGCTAACTTTAGAGTGATTATTTTGAATTATTCATATTTTAATTCTGGGAATCTTTATTTTATTTTATTTTTATTTTAATAAAAGTTAATTTATACGAATCCTAAGTGACCACGATGCCCATGCATGCAGGGTAGCTTTCCCGCAGGGACCTTATCTTAGAGAGCAGCCTATTATTTTTTTTTTAATTATTTAAATTACATTATATTAAAATTTTAATTTTAATTAAAAATACCGTTCAAATGTCAATAACCTCAACAACCTAGACGAATAATTTAAATAGTTTGATTTGAGTTATATTATCGGTCCAATTTGACTGATGGCCCGACATTCTCTTACATCTCCCGTGACATAGCCACATAACCCACTTCTTATTTTCAAGAGTGAAAACCAACCTCACAGATCAACACGAGCCCTTCTAACATAATTTGTCTTCACTCATATGCATTCTAGGAAAATTTCTAAGTAGAACATGTTTAACCATAAAATTCTTATAATTGAGCCAGTGAAAATGGGGGTGCACCTTGTTGGTAGATAATAACGTTCATTTCGTTTAAGTTTTTCTTAGACCTCCTATCTTTAGGATCGCTCTGATCAGATGTGGTTTCGATTCATTCATATATCTCTCCTTCACTCGAGTGTCACATGAGTCGTGAAGTCTATACGACTCGATTAGCCAACCCGACCAACTCAAAATTTTTGGTTGACTAAAAAACGTCCCGATCTTGAAAATTAGTTGTTAACAATAATGGGCAACAGCGGAAAGTAACCAAAGCTACATTTGATTCGTTATAGGCATCAAAGGAAGCCAAAATGGTTGACTAAAAACAATACATAAAATAAATTAATATATTTGGTGATTTTATTGGTAAATATTAATGGAAGGAACATCTATAATCTACCTACTTGGATACTTTTCCTCCAAAATTTATATACAATTTGAATTCAATTTTTATTTTGTTTAGTCTCCTTATTTTTATATTATAATTATTAAATAATTATATTAAACAAAATTAAATATTAATAATCAATTTAATGTCATTTTGTAAAACACTTTAAAATTTTACCTAGCCGTAATTTACTCAATAATATCATGATTATTTTTTTTTTCAAAGCATAGCTTGCCTAACAATTAATTAAATATTGTGTTTCAAAGCATATATTATTTTTTATACGACGTTTTAGAAGGTAAAATTAACGTTTAAGTATTATTTTTTTGACTTTAGTTCATTATTTTTAGGGTTATAATTTAGTTTTTATATTCTCGTTCTTATCTTGTTTCATTGGAGCAAAATTTTGACATGAAAATTTTAAATAATGATCAAAATAAATTACCTTTTCGATCGGGTTGGGTTTAAAAATATCTTTTGAATCAACCTGAAATTTCACGTTAGGTGAATTAATGACTTGGACAACTTGAAATTTTTGGTGCAAAAATCTAACCCAACTTTTATGGGTTACGTTGATAATTGAGATTGGTCGAGTTATCGGGTCTTATGAACACTCCTATTAAAAAACACGGGAGTATAATTCACTAATTATAATATTGTAAATTTTTCAAAGAGCAATTTACCAAATTGCCCTCATGAAGCTTCATACGAAGTAGAGAAAGCCAACTAAGCCAAGGCTCTTTGTGGCTCTTTTTCTATATTAATTTCTTTTGGATAAAGGTCACGCAAACTTCTAAGGAAAATTAGAACCTTTTCTAATTGACCAGTCTCGTTGAAAATGTGTAGTGGACTTTGTATTGTATAAGTGTAAATAATATTTTTTTAAAAAAATAAATTAATTCTAAATTTTGAATTTAGCGGGTAATTTAATTTAAAATAAAAATAAGAAACCCCGAGCTCAAAATTTTATCGTATTGATTTCAGTTCATTAAATAATATAAATACATTGATATTAGTGAGTATTTTAAGTTTGGTGCTAATAATTTCTAATAGAAATAAAAATAATATTAGGACATAGTTAATTTAATATAATTAAAATTAGATTATAAACGACAAGCATGTCTATTTCTTTAAATTAAAATTTACGTTATTTTAATAATATATTATAAAAGATAACGTAAAAGAAGTAAAATCGAAACTTTTTGAATAATTAATTGAAAAAGAAATTTGAAAGGAATAAATTATATAAATTTAGCACATTTACTATCCATTACAAGCAAGCCAAGTCAAAAAAAGAAAAAAGAATATATATTTTTAAGTAATAAAAATGAGAAGGTAGAGAAAAAGTCAAAGTTAGGAACATATTAATGATTAAGTAGTTAAATAGTTTAAAATTAGAATACTCAAATATTGAGACTATTCCCTCCCCCACCAACTCGAGGTTTTCATTGGTCGGTCGCACTTGCCATTGTCACCGCTAGGTACTTTTATACTAAATTCAATTGTTCTTATGGACTAAATGAGACTAATTTTTTTTTTATTGACTTTTATTATTTAACTGAAAAGGAATACAAGTGCGTTCATAAATTGAGTGGATGGAGTTGAAATATCTTTTAACAATTAAATTTTTTAAACTCAAGCAACTATAATTAAATAATCAACCTAACTCAATTCGGCTATGAAATATTTGGATTATTTAAATCATTTATTCAATTTCAATACTGATATGAACCACGACTAAAGAATTTCCATATCTCAATGTCTAATTATAAGGACGAGAGTCAAGAAGCTACCTTGTACACTTATATTCAAGCTATGCTGAGTTCATCAAAAGAAATTTTAGAAGACGTTGGAGACCTCCCTTATATGGTGTGCAAAGTTGAGCTTTAAGAAACAAATAAATATACTCTAAATTGCATTTAATGAACTCTTAGAACTAGTTAATTATAATTTAAATATTTGATAACTAATAAGCACATTTCATTCATTGCACTATTTAATTATAATTTAAATATTTATCTGTCATATTTAAGCTAATTTTTAATATAGAAGTTGAAGTTATATTGTAACCCACGTAGGTTACCATATTCCACCATTAACTCGTCATTTCAATATGGAGGTTATGATATTTCTCATCTTACAGTCAATTTAATTTGGGAGTTAGTGTCACATAGGTTAAGGTTGTAAATGCTATATAAAAACCTTCTTTTCTTTGATTAGACACGTCACATTTTGAAATTAAAAAATAGAAATTCTATTTTTTTTTTAGCTTTCTTGGGAGTTATGATTTTCTTTATAAATTCTTGTATTTAAAACATGCTAGCGTCATTCGAGTGGTATTGATCAAACCTCTTGTGAAGTAATTCGAATCACAAGTCTAGAAACGAGTTTTCTTTACTTTTGATCTTGAATCCATTCCATACTTTCCCTCTGTGGATTTCATATCAAATACATATTTACAAAAATTATATTCTAAAGAATTATAATTTATTTAATAGAGGAGAATAAATAAAAATATTGATGATATTAAATAAATTTAACCATTTTTAAAATAAATAAAACTAATTAACCATTTCTTCAAAAACAAATTAAATCACTTGTTGTGATACTATGATTAACTTATAAATATAGATTTAATTATTAATTATGATTATTTATAACTTAATACTTATTTAGTTTTTTTTAATATATACTTTCTATATTCAAATTAACTGCAAGATTTTTTTTTTTAAATTTAAACTTTTGACAATTTGATCGAGATACATATTTTGTTATTACAAAGTTATGCTCAAGTTGTCTCGTTGAAAGGACTCGGGTCAAAGATTAAACAATAAAATCATATCATTAATCATAAATTTATTTAAAAAAATACAACAAATCCACACTTAGCTTATTATTTTTTTAAACGAATTTAAAACAAAACGAAAAATAATTATTCTCAATCATCAAATTAAAGTTCATCAATTGGGTCGGCTGCAGACCTTTCGGATCTGGCCTTGCGATCCAGTGAGTGGTTGAATGTCGCCCATCTTGATCATAGCAGCCACGAAGTCAGACTCAAAGGCATCACTATCATCACCGTAGAGTTCAACCAAGGAATCAGTGGATCCGCCGTCGTGGAGCACCTGATCGGAGCGAAGCAGGGCCTTCTTCTCCAAAAGGTTCTTGTAGTAGTAGTTATCGAAAAGCTTTGGGGTTCTAAAGTCCAAAGGGGCACGATTGTCGTCGCCTCCATTTCTTGGGCAGCTTCGTTGCCTCTCTTTAGCAAATGACTCGTCGATGTTGGTCTCGTTGTATATACGATTCTTGAAAAATAAACACCGAGCTTGTCCAATGGTGTGGGCTCCTGCATATATCAATTAAGTATTGATATAATTACATTTATCATAATTCGATTAGTGATTTAACATGATCATATGTTCAAACTTCTATACCGGATAAGGCAACCAAGTCTCGAGGGGAGAGGCCCTTAGTGTTGAATCGGTTGATGAGGGTGTCGAGGGTGGAAGTTGGCGGAGGAATGGCACCAACGACATCAGAGAAGCTGGCTGTTTTGGAATCTCTTCTCCCTAATTTAACCTTCCAACTTGGTCCTCCAAGCTGAAATAATGTTTTGGAATCTCTTCTCCCTAATTTAACCTTCCAACTTGGTCCTCCAAGCTGAAATAATTAATTAGTCGAGCAAAAAGTCAACATCATTGAGTCACACTAAACAAATATTTTTTAAGGTACGAGGTTTAGAAAATTAATGTAATTAAAAACAAATAACTCACTGCCACGACAGAGTCACGAGCAGAAAGAGTCAATATATCAGCACAAGAGACAACACCCGGACAAACTTTTTCAAGATTTTTCTTTATACTCTCAATCACATTGAACCCTCTAACGGATCTATTATTGGGAGCTGCAGTTTGCTCTCCCGTAAACGTAGGAGTATCTTCCAGAAGGATCGATCCATCGCAACCCTAATAAATGACGATCAATTGTAGATAATATAATTAAAAAAGAGAACATAACTAATATAAGAAAAGAGATTTTTATACGTTAACGAAGCAGTCATGAAAGTGGAGGCGGAGAAGGGAAGCGCCCATGCGAGGTTCTTTAGCCACGGCAGACCGAACACCAGCTCGGACAGTGCTAAGGAGCTTGGGGCAGCTCTTGTAGTAGAAATCGGGAGAGAGATGAGCCGATGAGTTCCCCATGAACACGGCGAATAAGGCTAAGGCTAAAGCCACAACCATTTTGTTGGGACGAGAAAGGGATGCAATCGCCATGGATTTCAAGTAAAAAGGAGAGATTATTGGAAAAGCAATGAAGATCGGATGATTGAAGCTTCAAGAAGAGGGGTATTTATGGAAACTTGAAAGGAGACCAAGTAAAATTTGGTTGGAATATTTTAAATATTTATTTACAAAAATACTTAAAATATAAAATTTGGATTACTAGAAGAAGCTTATTTATTAAAAATTAATTTTTGAAGGAAAAATAGTCAAATTTGAAGGTTTATTATTATTATTATTATTATTATTATTATTATTATTATTATTATTATTATTTTCCTCTCATTGGACTATTTTGAAAAGTTCGTTTTTTGTCAGTGAAGTATCTGATGCAGGGATTATTTGTAAGCCAGCCACCTTGGAAATTCCAACATTATTTAATTTGACAATATTGAAAAATTAATTATATATCTTAAAAATAATAATAAAAAATACCCAATAAATATATATATATTTATAAATTTTAAAATTATTTAAAAGTTTTAAGAGTGTGTGAAATGTGAACCAGAATATTTCGCGCCAGACATGAATTCTCCGTGAAGTTCATCTTGGCCGCAACTCCCTGTAGCGCCTAATCGCGGGAAATTTCGATCGGAGATGGATAGATTGAGCGCCGAGGTTGCAGGATTGGAAGCTTCATTGCTTCGAATGGTCAATGATCACTAGTACGCCTCTCTCAAGGTTCGGGAAAACTCCGGTTAGTTACTATCTCATCTCTCTCTCTCTCTCTCTCTCTCTCTGTTTTCTGTAATTTCTTCACTCTCTCTTACGGCTTCATAGTCTTTAGATGGTGGTTATTTTATAGTTTCGTGATATTAAATCGTAATCTTCTTGTTTTGAATCATCGCGGTAGAGAAGGCGAAGAAAGATGCTACTCAGAAGCGGTGTGTGTTTCGGATCTTGTAGTCGATGCTGTGAATGGTGGAGTTCAAGAATCGTTTGTCAATTAGAAGTTGATTGAACTCGAAATTAGGGCATGAGCGATTAAGATTGCTCGATTTACAAAGCAGATCGATCAATGCCTCACCGCCACTCACGCTCTGAACAACGACGTTAAGGTTAGCTCTCATTCCTACGAAAGCAACTACTAAGTTATAATTTCATGGAAACCTACATTTTAGCTGTATGTATGCATATGTTAACACTTCATTGTTGCGAATCAAAACCTGCTAGTCTGATTACTGACTGGAAAGTTTAGCATTGTTATTGACGTCCACAACTTTAGTCTTCCAGAAGTCGTAAAACTTTTTAAGTGAATTAAATGATGTTGAGATGGTATTCGAGCTTCAAGGACTACGTTGCGGCTGTCAATAATGGTTATGATACTACCTGGTAACCACATTTGAGTCTAAAAGATTCTCCTCTAATTGCGGTCTAATGTTCCTATGAAGAGCTTGTGGCATCGAGTTGTTGCGTATATATTTGGTGTATTGTTTGAGCTGTTTTGTTATTTGTATTCTTGGTTTTGGTTAAAGCGTTTTCTGTTAGATTCATACCAGTGGTTAGTTATTGAAACTCAGTGGCTAAGCAGTATCTATAAAACCACCCCCCGGTACTATTTGTATCAATAAAAATATGAATAGAAGTGCAGTTCCTGAAACTTAGGTCAGGGCCATTTTGCATCTGTGTTTTGCTAAACTGCTTCTTAAGACAACTCAAAGCTATTATTCCTTTTAAAATTATGAGCTAGGTATAAAAATGACTTAAGAGGGAATGAGTTTAAGTCATAGTGACTACCTACGCAGAATTTAGTATCCTACAAGTTTCCTTGGTAGACAAATGTAGTAGTAGGACCAAGTAATTTCCCATGAGAATAGTCGAGATGCACATATACTGATCTCGACACTCGTGGATATACAAAGAAACTTGTTAGTTGACCTTGCCAGTTATCTAGCACAACTTTTGGCAATAGTTTTGAATACGGAAGAAAAAAACTATTTTTAAAAACATCTCCCCAACTATCATTTAGGTTTTGAAAATTTTTTTTTGTGGTTTGATGGATTGTTTTCCATGAAGAGATACTTTTCATACTCGTACAGATTATGAACACATCAAGTATACAAGAGAAAAAGACTACATAAGTTGCTTATAAAACTAAATCTTAGCTTCCATCTTTGTGATCATTGAATAGACATTTCTCATGATTCATGGAGCCTTGATGTTGTCTTATCCTTTGAGGGTAACATGAATACGTATTGTGCACAGGGAAAGAAACAATCTCTTATTTTTTATAAATAGGAATACTGTCTTATTGTTTTGTTGGATATATATAAAGAATCTCAATCTTATCATAGAATTTTAAACAATTTTTGTCGTGCAAATTGTTACTTGACTTTAGCCTTTGTATTTTGGATCGACATGAACCTAAGACCGTGTGATTAGTTTTAATGCTTGAATCACTCAAAAGTTTCTTAGTTTAAACTAAACCCAATGAACTCACACTGTTTCTTTAAGACTCAAGGTGTCATAAACAATTACCTCCCAGGATAGAACAGAATATCAATCTGAGAATGAGCACATCAACCACTAAACTCAACGAACACTACAATATGCGAGTAATTGTCTGAAAAAAAGAAGTGTTTTTTTGTGTATCAAACAAATAAGAAAATCACATAGTTATAGACTATTTGTGGTCATTCAAATATTCCCATCTCTTGGTATAGAGTTGTGTCTTTTGAGAAAAAAACATATCCTTTTGTTAAGGTAGAGCCCTTTAACGAAAAACACATCCTCTCTAAAGAATTGTGGTTTTAACAAGACTGAAATGCTCGTAGTTAAAGAGTCAGTCGTCCTTGCTTCTTAGAGCGTATTCTGCAGAGTCGAGAAAAACATAGATCTTCATCCTCTGCTTTAAGTTTGCTGAATCTGTGCCCCCTTAACATTGCTTGATAAGTTCTTGCAGTGTAAAGATATCAAGGGAGCAGCATATCCAGATGGAAACTCTTATAGAAATTTAGAACACCTCAGTCAGCCATGTCTTTGTACCTTATTAACTGAATAAGATAATTTATTAGAAACTTTTAAGTTCAATGATGTTGAGGATTGTTGGGAGAGGAGTCTTCGGAGAAACCAAAAGTAAAGCCACGAGTGTTTATGCTCCAAGTGAACAATTTCGTAACATTGTGGAGAGACGTGGTTTGTAATATGGTAATAGAGTCATGCCATTAACTTAGTTATGTTAGTAGAATTCTTAAATGTCGAATAAATAAGTTTAAGTTGGAGTTTTGAAGGTGTAGTCAAAAGTTGACTCAAATGTCGAACAAATGGTGTACTTTGTTCGAGGACTCCAGAGAAAGAGTCGAGCTTCAGTTATAGGGAGGTTGTTCGAGGGCCCCATGAAGCCTCAGGAGAGAGGGTGTACTTTATTCGAGGGTAGGATTGTTGAGGATTGTTGAGGGAGGAGTCCCACATCGACTAATTATAACGTTGATCATGGATTTATAAGTAGGAATACTATCTCCACCGATATAAGGAATTTTGAGAAATCTTCGGATGAAAGTGAACAATTTCATATCATTATGTTATTGTGTCCTCCTTAACACAGTGCATGTCATCATTTTGTCAATTTATTGCTTATGTAAACTGCAAATCTGCTCTGTACAATTATTAGCTGATGCCATATAATAATCATTTCTGCAACCTTCCAATTGGTGGTATCCATATTATACTATTTCCATTAATATTCACCTTCATAATTATCAGATATATTATCGTATTAGGTGGGTTCACATTTTTTAAGTCTTCCCTCCCAACCCATGACAATGATGCGGTTGCATTTTTTATTTTGGGTAACAGGTGACTGTTGACAAATTTCGGCCATTATCTCATCTCCTGGCGTTCTGGAGGAGTCTGATTTTGTTTTACATCACAAGAAAGAGGCCCAGGATTGAGCCGAACCCGCTGATGATTCTGATGGGAATGCTTTCTACGTTAATTCTGGATTTATCTGGGACCTCAACAGCACGGAGCATTGAAATTGGAGAATACTCACTCTGAGGTACACATTTAACCTTCATTGCTATTAAATGATGCTTCTTATTCTGATTGCCCATGAATCTAATTTATTTAAAGATTCTAAAACTAAGTAATACACTTAAGCTAACTTTGTTTATAAACCAATTCTTTAAGCCTTCTTTTTTTCTTGGTCTTTTAAAATATAAAAAGTCGTTTCAAAATATAATTTATTTTTATGAATTGTTTTTGTTCTTTTGTTCAGAAAGCATTTTGATTTTTTCTTTTTTTTTTTTTGTCCTAGCTTGCCTTTTGAGTTAGAATACAGTTTTTTGTTTTAAATAATAGAAACATTATTTTTTTACTATAACTTCCAAATACGTGTTTGTTTCCCAAAATATTTTAAATAAGAGATTACAGTGGCTATTACTTGTTCAAAAAGACAATACCGAATAAATTATGCTAATCATTTCGATAATATTGATATTACTACTACCTTTTTTAATATAACACTTGCATTTTTTTCAAATATTAAACAAAGTTTTTATTCCCAAGTGTGGAAGTCGCAATTTTTTAACAGCTAACAACAATTTATATTTAATCTCACGAAATATTTTATTCGGAAGTTGCATGCTAGTCAAATATATATTATTGATTTGTTCAGAATATATCATCCCAATACATCACGCCCTCTTAATTTATAGTTTAGAAAATTCCTTCATAGAAAACTTAAAAACTCAGAGTTAAAAAAAAAGAAAGAAAAGAAGACCAGTTAAAAAGTTCAGAGGCAATGATGGTATGGATGTCTTAAGCAGAAAAAAAAAAAAAATACTCGGTTATATTAGGAAGGAAAAATTTCCTAATTTCACGTAGTGAGTGATTCACTGATTCCTTGCCGTTGGATTATAATAGCAAATGAAATAGTTCCACTCTATTCTTTCTATCGGAACATTTCAGTACAACACTTAATAACCTTACCTTCACTTGGTCATGGTTTTCACAAAATTAATCTCCAAAATGATTTAAAAAAGTGTAGTGGTAGAATGGGACAAATGTAGTAGGTAGGTGAAGCAAAGCCAAAGCTTTAACACATGTTTGTCAAAGACCAACCCAATTATCCCCTCTGTCATCAGGAACAGTTGACTTAGCTAGGAAGGGATAAGTGTTTCACAAGTTGATCGATTGGCAACTGTTTTAATTTAAATTTGGTCAAAACCAACCGTGGGTTTTGTGTCTCTTTGTAAGGCATTGACCCTCTCTTAAACAATACTTTCTTCCTCCTCCTTTTGGGGCCAATTTTTAAGGTCTATGTTCTTACTATTATTCCGAATTCGGCGGAGGTTCTAGGTTCATATTTTGAAGGATATTTGATTTTAAAGGCTTCAAGTGGAAGAATTTAGGATGGTAGATCCAATAGCATAGGTTGTACCAATCCAAATTCACTACTAGTAGATATTGTCTGTTTTAGCCGTTACGAATTGTCGTCAGTCTCACAATTTTACAATGCGTCTGTTAGGAAGAGGTTTTCACAACTTTAAAAGACGAAATATTTTGTTCCTATCTTCAACCAATGAAGAATCTCATCGACATAGAGATTGTAACCATTAGTTTAACATTGATAAATAGAAAAAGAAGAAAAAAATGAAGTCGTAAAACGAGACTTAAATATAATATGAATGGGAATTTAAACTTCTAAGTAGAACAAATGCCTTATTTTTATATGTCATTATTTCTGTGCTGGCTTACTATCATTTTTCTTACTCTCATTAGTTAAATCACATAGTTATTGTTACACTTGTAAGGGTGTTTTTTCTTTGCTTGAAAGTTTGAGGTTCATAGTAAATTTTTTTGACTGACTAAATTCCATTTGATTTTAGTAAATGAATTCTTAATGCACAAAGTCGGTAGGACTAGAAGTTAAAAATCAATATGAACTATAAAATTATTTGAATATTATAATTCCAACGAAGTGGGTGCGTGTTCAAACAAGGACCGTTCAAATGAAGCTTCTTTAAGTTATGTTTTAAGTATAATATCAATTAATTTGCTAGCAGGTCAAGTGGTTGGTGGATTTGTTCAAAAACAATTCGATTAATATTTTGCCTATTAGTTAATAATTTCAAAATTCCAAGTAGAATTAGAAGCCTTGTAAATAAAAATATTTACATCTGTTTCATATTTTTAATTTTTTTTTTAAATTTAGCTTACTTGATTTTGAAATAGATTTGTGTTTAAACCAAGTTTGTAATTTTTCCACCAACCCAACTCTAATACATATTATCATAATTTTTTAAACATAAAAATGATCAAAATCCTTATCTTGTTGGTAACTCTTTGAAAAGGATTTTATTATTTTTATTATTATTATCATTTCAAAATTAATTTTGAAATATTCTACCTTTTGTTCCAAAAATGCTTTATAAAATTGTGATAAAAATAACAAGTAAAAATCATTATTGCAACGATCTAGCCTGAATAATATTGGAACTTATATGATAAAATATTTTACAAAAAAATGTCACAAATGCAAGGAACTCGTATATGACATCTAGGAGCCACCTATTACCTTCTTAACAATGGATTGTTCCATCTCCTGCCCATCAATAGTTGACTTAAAAAATTGTCAAAGCATAATTTCATAAGAGCCATGGGAGACTTGGTCCATAAGAGCTCTCTCTCCTCCCTTACCTTTGAGATATCCAAACCATGGTGTCACCCTACCCGTGACACCTTCCTCATTTTTCCCTATATAAACCAAACGCATTCCTCATCATCTTCACTGTGGAATCCCAAGAAATACTGTAGCATATTACAAGAAGTAAGCAAGCAATAGCTCTAATGGCGGCCCTTCGCTCTCTTTTTCTCTGTGTTTTTGTTTTATCAGCTGCCCTAAGCCATAGCCATGCACAGCTGACTCCCAACTTTTACAACAAAGTCTGCCCCAAGGCCTTGTCCACCATTAGATCCGTCGTCTTGAACGCCATCAAACGTGAGCCTCGTATGGGAGCTTCCCTCTTACGTCTCCATTTCCACGACTGCTTCGTCAACGTAAGTTCATCTTCTTTCTTGTCGTTCTGATTGTTCGTTTTGTTCAACTCATATCATGCAATCAATTGAGAGTTCGTAATTTTTTTTATGATTAGGGTTGTGATGGGTCGGTCTTATTGGACGATATTGGTAGCTTCGTTGGAGAAAAGACTGCCTTTCCTAATGTAAACTCGATCAGAGGCTTTGAAGTCGTCGACCAGATTAAACAAAAAGTCAATAAGGCTTGTAAAGGCAATGTTGTGTCTTGTGCTGATATCTTAGCTGTTGCTGCTCGTGATTCTGTTGCTATTGTAAGTATAAAACTATTAAATCGCTCAAAAATCCAAAAAATATTATTAACGATCCAAAATGTTGAACTATGTTTTGAACAGCTTGGTGGGCCAAACTACAAAGTACTATTAGGAAGAAGAGATGCAAGAACAGCAAGCGTAGACGATGCCAACAGAAGCCTCCCTCCACCATTTTTCAGTTTCTCACAGCTTCTATCCAGCTTCCAATCTCAAGGCCTCGACCTCAAGGACCTCGTCCTCTTATCTGCTGGCCACACCCTCGGCAAAGCTCGGTGCGCCACCTTCCGAACAAGGATATACAACGACACCAACATCGACCGGAAATTCGCAGCGTCGCTGAAGGCAATTTGCCCACCAAGCGGCAAGGATAACAATCTGATGGGTCTTGACAAGACTTCCAATTTCTTTGACACTGCCTACTTCAAAGCTTTGTTGAATAAGAAGGGTCTTCTCCATTCCGACCAGGAACTGTTCGGCGGCGGGAGCCAGGAGAGTGATGAATTGGTGTCGTACTATAGCAGTTATCCATACTCCTTTAGAGATGACTTTGGTTCTTCCATGATCAAAATGGGTAATATAAAGCCACTTACAGGAAGTTATGGAGAAATCAGACAAAACTGTCGGTTTGTCAACTAAAATGTTTCGGTTTGGTTTTCGCTTTCGATTTGAATTTGGATTTGGAATTGGATTAACGTTGTTTGAGATTCGAGTGTCGAAGAGTGTGCAAGTTTGTGTATAACCTTCGTTGATGTTTGTTTGTATTATATGAAATTAAATAATTATTGTGCCCTTCTAAAATGTCGTAGAAACTATTAAAATTTTGTTTGAAAATCGTTAATGCATAAGATATTTTTAAATGTGAAAAAATATAATGACGGTTCTTAGTTTGCTAGTTATCTTCGATCATCTCTTATCAACACTTCAAACTTGTTGTGGGTAAGGCTTGGAGTGTGTTAGATTGAATGGCATGAAGACCTATATGGGTAACAACCTCATGTATTTATATATGTGTATAATGAAGATTACATTCCAAATTTATGATTTGATAACAAACCATGAAATCATAGATGTGGTAACAAACTAGTAAATCCTAGATTATCTTAGTATATACAGATATGATCTATTTTATGTTTAACAGAGTGCACATTGAAAGAAGAGAGAGAGAGAGGGACGCCCTCAAAGATTGTGACGGTTGAGCCCGAGGGCCAAAATGTGTTCTACGAAAGGAGTAATGAAGCTTCCAGCTGAGTGATAGGTCATCAGATTTGTCTCGATATCTCTCCTACTAACACCTCCTAAAGTTCTCTATGCATACTTCAACGGAATGTTAGAAGAGACGGGAAACACACTCGCCTTTGAAGATACGCAATCCTAATGTGCTCAGTTGGACACCACTTCGATTAGGTACTAACATAAGGATCAAAACGTGGCAAACCATTACACCCGTGCCAAATTTTACTTTGCAGATTGGCTTAATAAAAGGGCAGCTAAGACAACCCAACTAGAATCAATTAAGAATATATTTAAGCGGATTTTACGAACATGGTTGAATAAACTATTCTATCCATACGACTTTTTTTTTTTTCTTTCCGAATTCAATTATAAAAAAATTTGAACTTGTGATCTCTTATGGATAATAAATATTTTAAATAAATTCTTCTACAGTTTTTAAAATAAAATTTGACCAATTAAAATTTTAAATGAAATGAATTAAATAATTGAATAATTAGTTTACTTTTTAATGTAAGTTTGGTGGGTATAATTAAATGTACCGACAATACTAGGCTACCCCAACGTGGACTTTTGCTATAATACCAAATGGATCCATTCTTTAATTATAAAATAAAATAAATTTCAATAATTATAAATAACCTTTCGGTCGTTATTTTTATGTTAAAGATCATTTTCATACAATTCTATAATTATTAAATAAAATATATTTTCATTTAAAACAAATTTCAATTTTTAATTAATATAAAATTCAAAATTAATGGTGATAAGATCGGTAGGTGAAATGGGAATAATTCTATTAAGTTGACATAATATTCTTTAATATTCTCGCTATAAGTCCTCACATTTAGCATATGCTTTAAATTTTAATTTTTTATAATTATTATTTTGCAATATTGTATAATATATAATGAACAAAAATAAAATGATTTTATATTAAAAATAATAATTTATATTTTAAATTATAAATTATAAGATTAATTATCCAAAATTGGGTCCTATTGGGCCTTCAGAAGGAAATAGGCCCAGTTTTAGGGGTCAGAGAACGGAGAAAGAGGAATTCAAGAATGGGCCTGAGCCCAAAGTCGAGTACATATAAAAGGCCCGTTTATTTGGAAGTTGCCACGTGGTGCGCTATACTAAAAATCTGACGGCAGAAAAGAAAGACACTTGTCAATTATAGAATAGGCGGTGGATACACGCTCTGAAATGAGAGAGTACGAAAGACAAGAACAAAGTACGTTTTTTAGCGGGTATGGTGGGCCCCACTCTGATGCCGTACCACGTGCACTCATTTGTTCTTTGCCTTCCCCAATCGCCATTCCACCAAATATCACCTCCATCATTTTCCTTTTTTGTTTTTTTTTTTGGAATTTATAAATTTATTTTCGTTAATTTATTTTTATGTATTATTTTCTATCTTATATTAAATTTTTTTATTACAAATTAATTTAATCATATTAAACCCAAATTTAAATAAATATTATAATTTCTAGCGGTTTAAATTTCACATAATTATAATTTTTTTTTTGGAAGCAACTGACTATATAACCCTATTCAAAGGTAAACTCAAGAAAGTCTTTTACGTTCAAAGATATGAACGTTCAGAGGTCACCGACCTACCATGGAACCCTATTCAATAAATAGAACGTTTGTCCATATATTCGGCCTCAAAAATTTTATAATCCACCAAGCTTATATGGGCTAGAATATTAGAATTTATTTTGCTAATTAATTCATAATTAATTATGAAAAATGAGAATTATTTTTGAATTTGTAATAAATATGGACGAGGAAGGCGTTGGATGTAATTTTCCGTACCTCTGTTTCTTCAAGCGGATGACTTCTCGGCAAGAATCTTGGTGGAGTCTATGAACCAACCAACCCTGTTTTACAGCTTCTTCTTCCTTTTTCCACCCATAGATTCCTCGTTTTCTCCTCCTCTGTTCTTTGATTTAGCCATTTCACCATGTTCTCCAAAGTCGATTCTGCTCCATCTCCACTGAAGAAGAAGATCAAGACCATTGATATGGACGACGCATTCTCCAGACCCTTTGATCATCTCACAGAGGAGATTATCTTCGTGATTCTCGACCATCTTCACGACGATCCTTTTTCTCGGAAATCGTTCTCTCTCGTCTGCAAATCCTTCTACTCCGCCGAATCATACCACCGGAAATCTCTAAGACCACTGCGCTCTGACCTGATTCGAAGTATCGCTCGTCGATATCCATCCATTTCGAAACTTGACCTATCCCTTTGCCTTCATGTTGAGGATTCGTTTTTGAATGCGATATCGTGTGCTTGGAAAACGACGTTGTTTTCCATCGATCTGTCCCGGTCTAGGTCGTTTTCGAATGCGGGATTGTCGAATTTGGTTACGAATTGTGCTGGATTGGTTGAGATTAACTTGTCGAATGGGGTTGCACTGACGGATTCGGCGTTGAAGGTCATAGCGGAGGCCAAAAACTTGGAGAAATTGTGGTTGGCGAGGTGTAGATCGATTACGGATATGGGGATTGGTTGTGTTGCTGTTGGATGTAGAAAGCTGAAAGTCTTGTGTCTGAAATGGTGCGTGCATATTACTGATATGGGTGTTGGTTTGATTGCAACGAAGTGCAAGGAGCTAAGGAGTTTAGACCTATCTTTCTTGCCGGTATTTCCCCCTCCTTCAACC